CGATTGAATAAATTTTATTATAAACAATTGTCTTGTAAATGGAATTTTTAAAAGCATTCTGAATGTAAAAATAAAGAAAAAAAAGTGTGCAAGACAATAAAAACACTACCTGCCAAAAAAAAGTGAAGTTTTGTTGAAATCGTTTGAAAAATGTAGGAAATCCGATCCCATATACAAACGAACACACACGCACACATACACACACACAAACAACCTGGGTTTTATTATAAGTATAACTTGATATGAGTTGTCCCCCTTTCATTCTCGTGATGCCTTTTAATCGGGTTTTCAAATTGATTTTTGTGCAAAACAATTGTTTTTTTCAATTTTGGCACTGTAAGAACCACTGCAAGGTAATTTTACGTAGTCCTGTGAAGTTTTATTTGAAATCGGTTGAAAAATGTAAAAATCCGATCCAATATATAAACGTACAGACACACATACACACACACACACACACACACACACACACACCTGGGTTTTATAATAAGTATGATATATGCACACAAAAACCAATATATAGTAAACAGGGTAAATAGTTCAAAACCTTTATTTTTAGTTTGTTCAGAAAATTAATGAAAAAGTGGAAAAGCTTTTCCTGTGACACATTTCGTCTTTTAGGTCTTCATCGGTGATGTTTACGTTAATGTAACTACACATTGGTATGAAGGAGAGCCGCGCTGAAATTTTTATCTTATTTTTTAAAAATATATAGTCTACCCAATATATATATATTAAATATATACTCCAACCAATTTCATTTTGTTTATGTTTTCTCTGTTTCTAACACTTTTGCTATTAAATAATCCACACTGTGATAATGGAAGATATGCCAAGAGAAGGGAAATATTTTATGTACCTGAACTTTAATTAAGGTAGCATGTTTTAAATCAAAATTATGGTTAGACCCATTACGGTAAGAAACTGAGTGTGTTGTTTTGTAAACGATTCCTTTTGTGTTCATATAATCTTTTATTTAAATTCGTTGAGGTTTCTCCAGTGTATTCCTTGGGGCAATTATTACAGGTGATAGAGTATATTCTTGCTTCAACTTTTACCGTAATATTACTTTGTTTTGTATTAAGTTTTTTAGTAATTTAGAAATAGTTGAAACAAGTTTTGTTAAGCTTAGAAAAATTATTTTCAATTTTGTTTGCGATAGAATCGGTCGGTAGAATAATATATTTTCATTCGCAGGGTTTGTCCATTTTGTCATTAACTTTTTTAACATTATACTTGTATATATCATTTTCTCTCATTTTAACTTGTATAATATTACTGTCCTATTTTTAATATTAATCAATTTACTTACAGAACTGCGTCATCGTTCAGTAATGTTGAGGGTTTTACCGAATCCCAATGTTTTTATATTATGTATTGTTTAATGTATATATATATATATATATATATATATATATATATATATATATATATATGGGGAAATAACTCAAGAAGAAGCACATACATAAGACTTTAAAATTCACAGGCAGATTCATACAGATAGACGCACATTAGATGCATAAATTCGCATGCACGCGCAACAACTGTCACTGTCATGCAAATCCTGTACATTACATGTTAATGTGTGGATGCATTAATGTTTGCCTGGCGAAAAGGGATTGCCGTAATGCAATATGAAGTTCTAATACTCGTATATTTTGAAGTTGTAGACACAGAAATAAAATGGGGAAATGTAGGTTGGGTAGGGAACTATTCATTTTACGACACAAACATCATTACTTTTTAATTACAGAGTTGCTCGCCCGCACACAGAGGCTAGTCTATTAATTTCTTTTAATCGTCAAATATCAGCTTTTTTATACTATTTATTAAATGCCACATTCTGTAGCTAGCTAGCGAGATAGATAGATAGATAGATAGATAGATAGATAGATAGATAGATAGATGAATAATGAAGAGATGACAGATAGATAGATAGATAGATAGATAGATAATGAAGAGAAGATAGATAGATAGATAGATAGATAGATAGATGGATGGTTTTGTTTGTTTTGTTTAGTTGCAGATCTACGATTTTGTACGAAATTGTATGCCTACCACTACAGATATTTTGTACATAATTTTATACTTCCAGGGTAAACAGGTTTTTTAGATGCAGTTTGTAAATGGCAGAATGTACTGTTAGTATTTTTTAAATGTATTGCTAATAATTTTACTACAAAAATATTTTGTTGGTAATTAGGTGTCTCCACGAAATCGCTAAAAAGTCTGCATACCATGTTAAAAAAATGCCCCAATCTTAATGAAAAATAAACTTTTTATATCGTCAAAATGTCTATATTATTATTAAGAGGAAATACAAAAGTATTTTTTTTTGATTATTTTATTAAATTTTTTAATCCTTTCTAGCAATTTCAAAATTTTGGTTAAATATCTTGTTTTTTTTTTCTTTTTTGTTTTGTTTTGTTTTCTTTTTAGACAGCGGGTCGGTCAAGATTAATACAATATCAGGAAATTTAGCGTCTGTTTGCCGATAAAACACATTGATTTGGAAATTCTTACAAAAATCAAATAATTGTCGGATTTTAATGACGCTAGCTAGCTAGCTAGCTAGCTAGCTAGCTAGCTAGATAGATAGATAGATAGATAGATAGATAGATAGATAGATGTGAACAAAAAGGGGTAGGCAGATGAATAGATAAATAAGGTTTTCTCCACAAGCTGAAAAATTCGGGTGTCTCTGACACCTTTTGAAACTGATCCAGTCTTTCCTATCAACTCTTGAAATGAAAGTTATCCTTAACGGCCACTCCTCTAGATCCTTTCATACTAACGCTAGTGTTCCCCAGTTATCCATCTTTGGTCTTATCTGTTTTTTTTAATTTTCATTAACGACCTTCCTGATGACATCAACTCTCAACTTGTTATCTTTTCTAAAGACACAACCATTTAACCCTGCCTCGACAGGCTGATCAGTCTGACAACGTCAAAATTGTAGCCGATGTTCAAGATGGCCTCGTCGTTAACTGTAGCAAAAGTTTTTTTTTTATTATTATTTTAACGCCTCCTAAACTAAACTTATCTCCATTAATCATCTGAGAGACTTCTCGCTCCCTTCCGTCAGCATGGCTGATGCTAACCTCTAGGAAAGTGACTCATTGCGCCTTCTCGAGCTCACCTTCTATGCTGACATGAAGTGAAAAAACTATATTGAATCCATTACTAGGTCAACTGCTAAGAAACTCGGTTCACTGTGTCTAGCGAGAATCTATCTTATAAATTTATATGCCTACTATTCCATGCTTAGAACACTGCTGGCATATATGGTCCGGTATACGTGCTATCCACCTTGAGCTCATTGATAAGATCTAAAGAAGAATCAGCAATATTATTGGTACTGATCTTGCGGCTCGGCTTCAGTCACTTTCCCACCGTCATAACGTTGCCTCCCTATGTTTTTTTGTTCTATAAATACTTTCATGGTAATTGTTCAAATGCGCCCTTCGCTTTGGTACTTAGATTTTTTTTAAATTTAAATGCAATACTAGACTGGCGTTGAAATCTCATCAATTTACAGTTGAGCTAGCTAGTTATAGCTGTAAATTTTATGCTAACTGTTTCTTTTTCTCGCACTTCTCGCTTGTAGAACTCCATTCTGGCCCCATGCTTTCCAGCCAAATTTAATTAGAAAATATTTAAATGCAATGTCAATCGCTATCCACTGTCCTCCTCGTCTCTCTCTCTCTCTCTCTCTCTATCTCTCTCTCTCTCTCTCTCTCTCTCTCTCTCTCTCTCTCTCTGATCGTGATTATTAATGAATGCTTTTGTTCCTAAATCTTCGACACCCTGTAACCCCTTGTGCTTTAGTGGCTTTACTGCCTTGCATGGAGTGAAACTGATTTTTTTTTAAATGTGTATCTACAGTGATGAGAATGTTTTGTTTTTTATGTTTCAAATACGGTTAGCATGTTGTGGCCGTGTTCATAGTTGATATTATTGAGTTTTATTATTAATCCTGCCATTATTTTTAGACGTTTTTTACATGTGGACGAGACTATTATGGTTGTATTTTCTACAGTATGTTGCAAAACAGAAGTGTTTAAATAGGTCATAACGGAGCTATATATATATATATATATATATATATATATATATATATATATATATATATATGTGCGTGTGTGTGTGTGTGTGTGTATGGAGGGCGTGTATGTGTGTATATATATTCGTGCGTGTGCGTGTGTGTATGTTTACTTTTGGTGGTATCGTTAGATATGTGTAGAGAAAAATATATTTACATGTGTGCATATAAAATCGTCAAAAGCATACATTTTTCATACATGTGTGTATGTGTGTGTACATCAAATCATATAGACATATTTTGTACGTGTGTACATGCATCTAAACATATATTTGTATTAAGAAAATGACTTTTTTGCATTCACTTCTTGGGCGCATCTAACTCCATCCTAAAAGATATTTCTTCAAAAGTTAATTCTTCCCAATATTCATCGTCCTCCAGAAACACACACACACATATATATAAAATAATATATATATATAAATATTAAATGAATTTTCGTTCATTTATTATTAATTTCGTTCATTTATTATTAATGTATTTTTCTTTGTCATTTTATTGCTTTGTTTGCATTTGCTTTTGATTTTATTATTATTTTTTTTTTTTTTTGCTATTTCGGAATTTTTGCTTCTTTTCCTTCTTTTGTCAAAAACTCTTTTCTTTTTCTTTTTTCTTTACTATTTTAATATCAGCCATTTCCCTTAGGTCTCAGTTTTCATCTTCAACTTTTTTTTTCGTTCTCTAACTGCACTTCTCTTCATTTTCTTATTCATATTTACTTTCTTTCTTCATTTCCTTCTCTCTCTCACTTGGTAATTTTGTTGGTTTTTCTTCGCCCGGCACTGAGTGTTCTCAGAGTAGAGGCTCCATTCTCTTCCGCCATTTTGCCCGTGATTTACATCAGTCCATTTTTTCTTATCTATTTTAGATAGATCCTTCCGAGAGATCCAGAGTGACGGTAAGTCATTAAACAAACCAAAAAATTGAAGAAAACAAATAACATTAGACGAATTACCCGCAAATACTTGGCACGAACTCGGATTTATGAAAGGCCAGAATTATTCACCTTTGAACTGCAAGTTTACGGATATGAAAGAAACGTTGGCATTTAATAATATGGTACAATTGTAGTTCAACACAGTCACTTGAATTATTCAAGAAAAATACATTATTACCCTCGGCTAATTCATTATTCTCTTCCTTTCCTTTAGCGATGGTTGATAGTTTTGCAGGAAATAAGTATTTCGTTGGCTTATCTAAGACTACACAAGGAGTAATGATCAAGTAGTAATGATCGGCAAAATTTGCGTCATAACTATTAGCTCATGGCAGACGTCCTAAATAGCAATTTACTATCCTTATGTTAGATTTGGTACAAGGTCACAAGCCAGGATAACCCAGTGATTAACCCAGTCTACCAACTCGCCAGGATAACCCAGGATAACCCAGTCTACCAACTCGCTACTTGCTCTGTTTTCCCGACCGTCACTCCCCACATTAAAGTCAGGGGGAATAGATTTTTAAGAAACTGTTATTCAAGTAGCCTTTTTATGACGTAGAATGTATTTTACACATCAATTTTTGCAGGTTGTGAAAATCTATGAATTCAGTAAAATTTTGATTTACCAGGTTCAAATAGTTCAAATATATTACATATATATGACATTTACTTGAATATTGCGTACCTGTCGTGGTCGCTCCTTGTCGTGGTGGATGAGTTTAAGTCGTCCACTTACTTTAAGAGCGATCCCGTTGGGAGTTCTAAACTCCTAGGGCCTCCCTTGGCGGTCACGTCTAAGACGAGGATTCAGACTAAGCGCGCCCAATCAAAAAGATCCCCAACGGTGGAATAAGTGTATGATGATTACAAGAGATCTTAACGCTTGAACCAGAGTATGAAGAGGGCTACGCATGACCGACATACTACAGAAGGCGTCACTCGAAGTTATAAGTTGTCAGCGGCAGTCCGTTACAAATTCTTAACTGGATTCTGCATGTCTCATTCCATATGTGTCGCAGAAGGTCATGAAGTATATGGGTCACTTCCTGGCAAGTTGAGGTCCACCTTAAACAAATTCGCGACATCGAAATTTTCTTCTACTCTGATTTTCTTTCACCTTCAACCAACTCTTGCAAAGCAAAACGGCAATAGGGAATGGATGATAGGAGCAGTTTTTGGTGAAACTGGAAGCTTCTAGTCCTCAACCTGCACATTTGAGGTGAATTTAGTCATCAACGCTAACTTTATAAAGGAAGCGATCAACAAAGAAGATATGAAATTCGAAGACGACTTGAATATAACGTTTATATAAATGATTGTTTCACACATGTAGTCTTTAAGAAAATCTTCCATTATTTACTTTCCAAGAATAATAAAAATCATCATGTAAAAAAATGTCCCATTTTTTTAAAAGAACGATTTGTTTACAACGATGTGGAGTGTAAAATGTCCGAAGGAATATGAAAATCTCCTCTGTATCCAACAAAAGTGATACTATGTGTCTGGTGGGATTAGAAGGACATTGAGTATTACAAGCTCTTTCCGGAAAAATCAGATCATTTTTAATTAAGAAGTTCGAACAAAAGTATTGTTCCCAATTGAACAATTAAAGGCGGCAAATCGATGAAAAAAAATGCCTTTCGAAATTTATTCAAACATCGAAAGGTGTCCTAAAAAGGGACTTTCAAACAGTACCAGACATCACGTCTCTTTGCATAGCCGACAAAAATGGATAGAGCTTGGCTGAGTTATTGCTTCCACCACAATGACCTGACTTTTCACCTTCGGATTATCACTTATTTCGATTTTTACATCATTCTCTTAATAGGAAGAAGTATTTAGACGAATTCATTACCCAAAAAGGTACAAAGCTTTGGGAAGATGGAATCATGAAAGCTGTCTGTGAATTCAAAGATGGGGAATAAGAAAGTTAAAAAAGAATATGCCACATATATCCCCTAAAGGGATATCATATTCTAAGAATAAAAGATACAATAGCCGGAAGGTGCAAAATACGTAAGAAGGTAAGAGGGAGGTATCCAAGGGAGTATCTGAATAGCATCTTGAAATGCAAAACGAATTTAAAACATTATGAACCTTTATTCAAACAAAGATATAAGAGGGAGTAAATGGGAAATAATATTATCCCTAAAAAGCCGGAATGCATCAATAGGTATTCTAAGAATAGGTGGAAATAAATGAAAATGAGGAATAAGTTTTAACAGTCGAACCAAGAATGGAGGAGTAGGTGGAAATTGGGAAATTTCTGAAAAATGTAGAAAAAGTAAATAAGAAAGAATGTAAATGTCAAAATCAAGGTAAAATGTAAGTACAGAAAATGTAAGAAGGAATAGGTGGAATATATCTGATGAATGTTTTTTGAAGGAATAGGTGGAGGGGAAGTTAAGAGGGAGTAGGTGGAATTGGAACACCGGAAAAGGGAAGAAAAGGTATTGAAGGTAAGAGGGAGTAGGTGGAAAGAGGAAAATAAGAAAAAGAGGAATGTAAGAGGGAGGTCCAAAAACTAAAAAAATGTAAGAAGGAATATCAAGAAGAAGAGGGAGCTATTTCTGTTAGAAACAGGGAAATAAGAAAGAATGTAAGAAGGAATAGGTGAAAGGGGAAGTAAGGTAAGAGGGAGTGGTGGGAAAGGGAAATAAGAAGGTAAGAGGGAGGTATCAATCCTCTTATATAGAATGTGAATGGTGGGCAGAGATGGGAGAAAAGAGGGAAGAATGTAAGAGGGAGTAGGTGGAAAAGAGGAAATAAGAAAGAATGTAAGAAGGGAATTCTATGGGAGAATGTTGGAAATAACATGGACTGAACATGTGAGCAATGAGGAGGGGAGTTTTTAACAAGAAAGAGCACAGGTGTACAACCAGGTAGAGACAAGGGGAAATAAGAAGGCAAGAGGAGTTGTAAGAGGGAGATTAAAAGAAAATGAGGAAAAGGGGAAGTAAGAAGGTAAGAGGAGTAGGTAAGAGGGAAAGAAGGGGGGAAGAAGGCAAAGGGGAGTAGGTGAAAGAAGGGAAGAATAGGTAGAAAGGGAGGGAGGTAAGGGGAGCAGGTGGAAAGAGGGAAATAAGAAGGAAGTAAAAGAGGGAAGAAATGGGAAGAGGGTAGGTGGAAAGGGGAAGAAGGTAAGAGGGAGGGAAGGAATGTAAGAGGGAGCAGGTGAAGGAATAGGTGGGAAAGAGGAAGAAGGTAAGAGGGAGTAGGTGGAAGAGGAAGAAGGTAGGGAGCGGAAAGAATGGGAAAGGTGAGGGAAATAAGAAGGAAAGAGGAGAGGAGGTGAAAGAGGAAGAAAGAATGTAAGAGGGAAAGAGGAACAATAGGTAAGAGGAGTAGGTGGAAAAGAGGGAAGAATGTAAGAAGGGTGGAAGAGGGAAATAAGAAAGAATGTAAGAAGGAATGGAAAGAGGAAGGTAAATAAGAAGGTAAGAGGGAGTAGGGTGAAAGGGGGGAATGTAAGAAGAAGTAGAAAGGGGGAAGTAAGAAGGTAAGAGGGAGAGGGAAGAAGGTAGAAAAGAGGGAAGAATGTAAGAGGGAGTAGGTGAGGAAATAAGAAGGTGGAAGTAAGAAGGGAGTAAGAGGGAAATAAGAAGGGGTAGGGAGTGGAAAGGGAAGGAAGAATGTAAATAAGAAAGAAATGTAAGAAGGAATAGGTGGAAAGGGGGAAGTGGAAAGGGAGGTGAAAGGAAATAAGAAGAAGGGGAGTGGTAAGAAGGAAATAAGAAAGAATGTGAAGGAATAGGTGGAAAGAGTGGGAAGTAAGAAGGTAAGAGGGAGTAGGGGAAAGAGGGAAATAAGAAGGTAAGAAAGGTGGGAAAGGGAAAATGCAAGAAAGAAAATGAAAGAATGTAAGAAGGAATAGGTGGAAAGAAAAGGGGAGGTGGAAAGAGGGAAATAAGAAGGGTGGGAAAGAGGGAAGAATAAGAGGGGAGTAGGTGGGAAAAGAGGGAAACAAGAAGGTAAGAGGGAAGAATGTAAGAGGGAGTGGTGGAAAAGAGGAAATAAGAATGTAAGAGGGAGTAGGTGGAAAGAGGAAAACAAAAGAATGAGGGAAATAAGAAAAGAAATGGAATAAAGGGGAAGTAAGAAGGTAAAGGGAGGGGAAAAGAGGGGAAATAAGAATGTAAAGAGGGGAGAGGAAATAAGAAAGAATGTAAGAAGGAATAGGTGGAAAGAAGAAGGTAAGAGGGAAAGAGGGAAATAAGAAGGAGAGGGAGTAGGGAAAGAGGGAAGAAATGCAAAAGAAAAGGGAAATAAGAAAGAAGGCAAGAAGGAATAGGGTGAAAGGGGGAAGTAAGAAGGTAAGAGGGAGTAGGGTGGAAGAGAGGGAAATAAGAAGGTAAGAGGGGAAAAGAGGGAAGAATGTAAAGGGAGGAGGAAGAACAGGGGAGAGGTGGAAAGAGGAAATAAGAAGAATGTAAGAAGGAAGGCAAGGGGAGCAGGTGAAAGAGGGAAATAAGAAGGTAAGAAGGGTAAAGAGGGAAGTAGAGGGAGTAGGGGAAAGAGGGAAAGAATGTACGAGGAAAGGGGGGCAGGGTGGGGAGAAAAGAGGAAATAAGAAAGAAAGAATGTGAGGGAGTAGGGGAAAAGGAAATAAGAAAGAATGTAGTGGAAAAGGTGAAAGGGGGGAAGTAAGAAGGTAAGAGGGAGTAGGTGGGAGAGGGGAAGAAGGTAAAGAGGGAAGAATGTAAGAGAGGGAGTAGGTGGAAAGAGGAATAAAAGAAAATAAGAAAGAATGTAAGAAGGAATAGGTGAAAGGGGGAAATAAGAAGGGTAGAGGGAGTAGGTGGAAAAGAGGGAAATAAGAAGGGGGGAGTAGGTGGAAAGAGGGAAGAATGTAGGTGGAAGAGGAAAGAATGAAAGGGAGTAGGTGGAAAGAGGGAAACAAGAAAAGGTGGAAAGAAAGTAAGAAGAAGGAATAGGTGGAAAAAGAGGGAAGAATGGGA